CGTCTGCCACGCCCTGTGCAGCGCTTCGTGGCCCCATAAGGAGCTCCACCGAAGGCCCCTGTGGGTGTGGCCACATGGGTCCGCCACACTCAGTACAGCGTTTCGTGGCCTCATGGGGAGCCCCACCGAAAACCCAGTGGGTGTGGCCACATGCGTCCGCCACACCCGGTACAGCACTTCGTGGCCCCATAGGGAGCTCTACAGAAGGATCCAGTGGGGGTGCCTGCATGCGCCCGCCACACCCAGTACAGCGCTTCGTGGCCTCATGGGGAGCTCCGCCGAAGACCCCAGTGGGTGTGCCCGTGTGCGTCCGCCAGTACAGCGCTTCGTGGCCCCACAGGGAGCTCCACCGAAAGCTCCAGTGGGGGTGGCCGCATGCGTCCGCCACACCCTTTACAGCGCTTCGTGGTCCAATGGGGAGCCAGGCAGGGCCACATGCCCGACTTGTTCGGCACACGATGGAGCAGACGAGCCTCGCGTCCACGAGCCTCGCTGTGACGATGGTAACGTCGGTCCCATGTCTTCGGTGCGGGCATCGAAGGGCCCTCGTCAGAGGCAGACAGCGGATGACGGGCCCCTCGCGGCTCGAAGGGTGGCCACCCCGCGGGGAGGACGGCCGCGAGCCAGAGGCCTGGGAAAGCGAAGACGCGCGCCGTCCTGAGGTCCTTGGCCCGAGCGAGCTCGAGCCAAACAGACTATGAGCGACCCTCTGACCCTGTCTGCTCCACACCCCCGAAAAAAACAGTTGGAACAACACTCATTACATCCGCCAGTCGCCGCCGGTTGATACTCCCTTGAGAATGAGGTCCACTCGGGAACGCCGCGCCATGGCGAACGATCCTCCCAGAAACACAGAAGAGGACGAGGATAAGGGAGGAGGAGGAGGAGGAGGAGGAGGAGGAGGAGGAGGAGGAGGAGGAGGAGGAGGAGGAGAAGGAGGAGGAGGAGAGAGAGGAGGAGGAGGAGGAGGAGGAGGAGGAGGGGGAGGCAGGCCCTCCGATCCCTTCCCGTGGCGCTGATTATTCTCCACCCGCGGGCGCGCGTCGCAGACCGTCGCAGCCGACCCTGCGCCTCCCAGAGAGCAGGGGCCACTTCGTGCCGTGCGCAGTCGGAGAAGCAGGGGAGCTGCGTGCAAAGGAGGATGCGGCGGGTGAGCAGGAAGACGAGCACCCCCTCCCCCTCCTCCTCCTCCTCCTCCTCCTGCTGCTGCTGCTCCTCCTCCCCCTCCTCCTCCTCCTCCTCCTCCTCGTACCTCACCTCTCCTACCGCCCTCCTCCTCCTTCTCCTCCTCCTCCTCCTGGCGCGTACCCAGGGGCGCGCACCAGTCTATTCTCGAACAGCGGCAGGTCGCAGCCGCTCATGAGCTGCACGGACCTGCGGCAAAAGCCCACGACACCTGTCTGAGTTCAATCCGCCCCTTTGGGGGGGGAGGGCCCTGAGATGATTAAATCATGAAAACGCTACAACTGGGACTTCAAGCAGCCTCGACGACGGTTCGAGGAGGCCGAGACGTGAGACCACACACGGGGGGAGGTCACACAGCACCACGGAGGCGAGGAGGCCGAGGAACACGGGGCAAGAGAGATAGTGCGACGTCGAGTCGGGAGCACAGCAGCCTAAGATACAATTCTTCCCCCGGTCTTGAAAACGGGCCCCCGTCACCCATCCTCCAGACATGGTTTTGATGGAAGCAGTATCCCAGGGACTGGGGAACTTCAAAACTTCGATTCGAACGGTACTCCAATCTACCCTAAGAATGGGGCCTCTGGAATCAGGATACCACTTTAAAAGCCGAGATTTGAAGGTGGAGTGGAGGCTCGGAGGTAAGAGGTGGAGGTGTAACTCACGAGCTGTGACTCTCTGGAGCTTGGCCTTCGGATCACGGGACGCAGACAAACCAGCTTTCAAGGCATGGTTTCCAGCCTCCGACCAGGCGGGCGACGAAGGGAAGCCAAGACTAGCCTCCCTCAGAGTTCCAACCTTCGGGGGCGTGTCCCAAAACGAGGGCGACATCTGGCCCGACGTCCATTGGGCGAGGGACAATTCGAGCGCTGCCACATCATGCAAACGATGGTACAACTTTGGCCACTCGCTGAAGGTCTTCAGCGCGCAACGCATCAGAGCGGCCAAATTTGTGACCAGCGCACTCGTCAGCCGAGGTCCTCCCCAGCTGTCGAGGTTGAAACAATCAGCACGGCTCACGGAGCAGTGCGGAACTGAGAGCACCATAGCCATACACGCATGCTCGACACGCGAGAAGAGCGGCGGCAGCACGAAGTGCTGTGATATATACGACAGCACGGTGACAACTCGCTTGTTATAAGTGCTCCTCCTGCTCCTGCTCCTCCTCCTTCTCCTGCTCCTGCTCCTGCTCCTCCTCCTCCTCCTCCTCCTCCTCCTCCTCTCCTCCTCCTCCCCCTCCCCCTCCTCCTCCTCCTCCTCCTCCTCCTCCTCCTCCTCCTCCTCCTCCTCCTCCTCCTCACACGAGGACGAACGGCAGCAGCAGAGACTGAAGCGGAAGGGTCGGGAGGAGAAAGAGGGCCAGGGGAAGGCGGAGGGGACATGAGGGGGTCGATGGTGATGGAGAAAGAGTCGGACTCAGAAAAGGGGCCCGTGCTGGGGCGAGACGAACAGCAGCAGCACGAGCTAGAGTGGAAGGGACGGGAGGAACAGAAGGACCAGAGGAAGGAGGAGGAGGGGACATGAGGGGGGGGGAACACAATGAAGCAAGACTCGGATCCAGCAAAGTGGCCAGCGCTGAGGCGAGAGCGCCATTCTGAACGACGGGAGCAGAGCGCCGATCCGAAAATGAGGCCCACGCTGCAGCGGGGGCACAACAATAAGGATTGTAAACGCGTATAAGAAAAAAACAACGTTCGGAATCCTGTGCAAAAGAGCACGCGGAGGGGGCGGGAGATCTTCCGGACAACTTCAGGGGAGGAGGGAGAGTAGTATTCAGGTTGTCTAATTGTAGAAGGAGGGCAGGGAAGAGGAGGAGGAAAAGAGGAGGAGGAGGAGGAGGAGGAGGAGGAACGCCCCTCATGGCGAACGAACCTCCCCGAAGCACACTACGGGCTCGTTCTCGGTCTCTTTCGCCCTCTGGGCACGATCCCCGAGCTGCATCGGCTGCGGCGGCGGCCGCAGGAGCACCTATGCGGCCAGCATGAGGAGGAGAAGGAGGAGGAGGAGAAGGAGGAGAACGATGAAGGAGGAGGAGGAGGAGAACGAGGAAGGAGGAGGAGGAGGAGGAGGAGGAGGAGGAGCGAGGAGGAGGAGGAGGAGGGAGGAGGGAAGAAGGAAGAGGAGCGGAGCGAGGAGGAGTGAGGAGGAGGAAAGGAGGAGGAGGAGGAGAAGGAGGAGGCGGAAGGGGAGGGAGGAGGGGGGAGGAGGGGCGAGCGAGATGAAGGAGGAGGAGGAAGAGGAGGAGAAGGAAAGATACCGAGGGAGGAGGAGGAGGAGGTAAGAGGAGGGGAGGAGGATGAGGAGGAGGAGGGGGAGGAGCGAGCAGGAGGAGGAGAAGAGAGGAGGAGGACGGAACGGGAAAGAGAAAAAAAGAGAAGGAGGACCAGAGTAAACCCAGGATGCATACGACTACGCTGCAATACAGGCTCCCGTATGACAAATTGCCCCACAGCCCTTACATGCTGACGTTCACTGGATGCTGCGCCTGATTGAAAGACCAGCCCAATACCACATGGGCCTGTTTTGGAAGACCAGCGAGAGCCCTATTTGAAAAGGACCCCCCGATCCGCGTAACCGTTGCACACCTGTACATGTCAGGTCACGAATGTTGAATACATCTCCAGCAATATCCAAAGTTTGAAACGAGCCGCGCTCCATATGAGCAGCTGCTACATCTGTTCAAACTTCTGGCCGTCAAAGGACGTCTCAAACGAGAGCCCAACTCTAAGAAGAGACCGTCCTCCATCCTTGTAACATTGGGAACTTTAAGAACGAATGCGCGCGGCGATAAGGCGGTAATCGATCGCATTTGAAAGGGAGTCGGCATCTCAAACCTTGTCAATGTTGCGAGCTTTTGAAGCGAATGTGCGCGGCGCTCAGGCGAGAGCCGCATTTTCAAAGCCATTGGCCCTCTATCCTGGCAGTTCCTGCAAACTTTTCAGCCGAATGTTGCGGCGCTAAAATGAGAGCAACACTCTGAACCACATGGGCCTTCCATCCGTACAGCGGTGTGGTGCCTTGAAGCATCAGGATGATCAGTTGTGAGGGGCTTCCACGCGAAATCCCTGGCGACGAGGAGTAAGAGGAGAGAGGAAGGTTAGCATGAAAGAGACGGGCCCTGAGGGACACCGGCCCTGGAAATCTTCCCTCGGGCTCGGGCTCACGGAAGCCTCCCTCGGCCCCTGGTCGACTGCACGCAAGAGTGACCCTGGGTACGAGTGACCTTTGTTGCGCGGCTCTTTGGGGGTCGCGGGGGGACCACACACAAGCGCGCAAGGCGCTGCCACCGCATCGCGTTCGGCGATCGGGGGACCCCAGAGGGCCTGCACCAAAGGTCACTCCGGCGAAGGGTCACTCTTACTAGAACAGGGCTAGGATCGGGATAAATCGCTCCAGAGCGTTCCGGAGCGCTCTCAGAGCGTTCCGGAACGCTCTGGAGCGGCCGCGGCGCCCAATACATCCTCCAAACCCGCCGATTCTCAGAGATTTCGAATTATCCCGATCCGATTTTGTCCCGATCTTCGCGTCGTTTTACTTTACCTATTACGTGGAGCGACTGGGACCGTCCGAGGACCGACGTGGGACGACGACTCTTACTGGGTAGTCGAAGCCAATCTGGCGCCAATCTGGCGGTCCAATCTGGAAATCTGCGAGGGAGTCCATCTGATTAATTTGGCGAGAACCAATCTGGGCGCCAATCTGGCAATCTAGTAACACAAAAAACACAAAAAAAACTAAAAAACGGCCCCAGCATTACTGCTGCAAGGCCAACTGCGATAACATGAAGACAACATTTTTATATATATATATATATATATATATATATATATCATTTGAGAAGCAATCTGGCGTGGAGTCGACCTGGGACCGTCCGGCGACGGCGTGGGATGAGGAGCCGGCCCTCGAGGAGTGCCCCGGGAGCTCTGGCCGCTCCGGCCTCGACGCGCCCGGGCTGCGCAGGGGCTCCCCGACCCAGCCGGGGGGGAGCGGCCCAGAGGCCAGAACAGCCCCTCCTCCTCCTCCTCCTCCCTCCTCCTTCCTTCTCCTCTCCTCCTCCTCCTCCTCCTCCTCCTCCTCCTCCTCCTGCTCAACGCCCTGGCTGTCGGAGCGACGCGCCTGGGCCGCGCAGGGGCTCCCCGACCCAGCTGGGGGGAGCGGCCCAGAGGCCAGAGCCCCTCCTGCGCCTTAAGCTGGGGCGTCCATTCCCTGTGTTTTTGTTCGGTTCCGCGCGTGGCTGTTTCGCCCAATGGTCAAGGGTGCTCCTCGATGGTCCTCGCCGAGGGAAACATGCACACGTCCGAGCGATGCCGAGCTCCTGCGCCCAAGGCACGGCCCTCAGCTCAACGCCCTGGCTGCAGGACCCGCCCCCCTCGGGACCCGCGCCCCTCACTGCGAGGAGGGAAGGGCGGTGGGGCACCGAGCCAGTCTGCAACTGCTGCATGCTCCGGCGCCGTCTGCCGCCCTCGGACACGTGCTTGCGGGTCTCGTAGCGCACCACTCGGCCGGCCTTCTCCACAGAGGCCCGGCCGCGGATCAGCATGTACAGCGCCTCGCTCGGGGCCCCCTCGTCGAAGAGGTGCTCTCCCGGGAAGTACAGCCGTCGCAGCACGCATGGCTCGACCGCGCTGAGCGTCTCCTTGGCGATCCCCTTGAAGATCGGGCATGGGGCTATTGAGGTACCCGCCAGCATGTGCTCGGGAGCCAGGTTTTCCTCCAGCACCGACTGGTACCAGAGCTGGTCGCTGGGGAACCCCTTGAGAACCTGCAGGAAGTCGTTCCGAACGAGCTCGGCGACGGTGGTGGTGGTCTCATTGGCCACCAGGTCAACCTGGGGAGCAACACGAAACGATACGCCGAACTTCTTATTAATCCACCAGAGGGGTGGGCGGTGCGACCACCGGCGCGCCCCCCCACCCCCCCCCCCGCGGCACCACCCTCGCCCCCCGCGGCACCACCCTAGTCGCGCTCATTTCTAATCGTGCCCGCTTCTAACTGTTACTGGCCCCCTGGTGGCCAGGAAGATGCCCAGGATGCAACAATTAGAAAGGAAAGGGTCTTGCCCCCCCCACAAATTCAAAGAACTTTCGAATAATTAGACATGAGCAATGTGTGCGCTTCTTCCTCTGGCGCCCCAATGACTTCAGCCAACGGCGCACAAAGTGAGGCGGGACGCGCGCAAACCGGATTAGCCCCTTCTGAGGCAGCGCAGCCATAACTGGCAGTCCCAATGGTGGTCGAGCGTGGTCGACCGCTGGGCATAAGAAGACGGAAACCGACAGGCGATGCGCAAGACAAAAGGCGTCCGACGGCGAGCGGGCCCCCCCTCTTCTCTATGCGCTGCTTATATGCGGCAAAAGCTTGGGGGAGCCGAGCCAGAATCGCGCCGAGGGGGGAAGAGGCCAGGCCCCCCCGCCCCCCAGCGCGACCTTGCGAAGAAGGCGCTGGCCTGCGCGACGCGAGGGTCGCCCGCTCATTGCGCCGCACACTCCGCGACTCGATCGCGCTGTCACCCCTGCGCGGTGGCAATCCCTGTGATGCTCACCGAGAGGAGAGGTGCGGGCGGGTGGGCAGAATAACACGCGCTTTCGCCGCGCTCGCAAAGCGCACGTTCCGTGGGGGGGGGGGGGGGGACGGTCGGCGCGCGCTCTCTTCGGGGAAACGCCGAGCGCACGCGGTTCCCCCCGCTCCGCCGTCGGCCCCCTTATGCCCTTGCCCGGCCTAACCCAGAGCCGGGGCAGAAGCGACCGACGGCGAGCGGGCCCCCCCCCCTCTTCTCTACGCGCTGCTTATATGCGGCAAAAGCTTGGGGGAGTGCCGCAAGGGAAGAGCCGAGCCAGGATCGCGCCGAGGGGGGAAGGGGCCAGGCCCCCCCGCCACAGGAAGTGTGGCCGGCCCCTCCCAGAGCGAAGCGAGGCCCACATACACCAGCAAAACCTCACCGTGCATACGCACACTCACCTGGAAGAGAGGATGTGGGAGAAAATGAGGGCATGAAGATGTGGGGTGCGGGGGCATGGTCTAATTATCCTCCTCTTCCTCCTCCTCGTTATCCCTCCTCCTCCTCCTCCTCCTCCTCCTCCTCCTCTTCAAACAGCAACATGCACTGGAAGATCGGCAACGCTAAAGTCGTGAAGCGAGCTGTTCACACTCGCGATTCGCGGTTGTGGAAGAGCAGTCTGCTCGCAAGAGCTAGCCACAGTTGAGCGGCATCGGGCACCACGGACGCCGAACTGTGCATTCAACAACGGGGGGCTCTGGAAGCTCTTGGGGCAGGAAGGACGATAACAGCAGTATATCAAACGCAAGCGCGGCGTGCTGCCTTCGGGGGCGACCAAGAGGGGGGTGTCCAAGAGGGACGTGTGTGCAAACCATGGGCCGAGGCACGTGCGCGGCCTGGGGGGGGGGGGCAGGGGACGACATGAAATAAGAAGAGGGGCCATGACATCTAGGGAGACATCATGGCCCCCGCCATGATAGTTACCCCCCTTAGCCATCACCCCCCTCCTGGCCGCCCCAGATACCTTGCTGCGTGTCCTCTCGAGGGCGCCAGCCGGAACCGCCCTGGGCCGTCTCGAAGCCCTCCCGGCGCCTCTCGAGGCCATCTCGGGGCACCCAGGTGCCGCGGGTGGGCCTGAGGGTCCACCAGGTGGCCCCTGTGTCGTCACAACTCGGGGGTGATCAAGAGGGGGGCGTCCTAGAGGGGGGAGATGCAAATCATGGCCGGCGGCACGTGCGCGGCCCAAGGGGGGGGGGCCAGGGACGCAACAAAATACGAAGGGGGGCCATGAAATCTGGGGAGATGTCATGGCCCACGCCATGAAATCCCCCCCCCCCTAGTCATCACCCCCCCTCTGCCGCCCCCGAATGCGGGGCCCCGCGAGGGGCGCAAGAGGACCCCGAGAGGGCCACAAAGGGTGCTCCAGGAAGGCCTCCAAAGGGGACCCACGAACAGACCCCAGGAGCGCAATTTGGGAGTCCCCCACTGATGCGGGATGACGATTAATAAAAAAATGGGAGAAAACGATTAAACACATAGTTTTCTGCTATTTCTGCATAATTTTCTGACTGGAGGAGAACAATCAAAAAATAATGTTCCAGCCCGCGGCCGGTTTTTCTAATCGTCATCCCGGGCGCCGCCGCGTGAACACGACCCCCGGTCATTTATCAATCGTCATCCTCCATTACTCCAGAGCCGAGAGGGCCCCCAGACCCCCAGCACGGCCCGGAGAAGCCTCCCAAGGCCCCTGGCATACCCAAAGGGTGCCCACAAGAGGTCTCCGAGACGTCTCGGAGAAGACCCCAGCCGTGCTCTTTGGAGCCCCTTGGACACTGTTGGCAATGCTTTGTTAGCCTCGACCGTCCCCACTGCGCCCGTGACCCAACACCCAGGCACTGTAACAACATGGGCCAAATTCCATTTGATGTTTCAGGAATGACGAGGAATACAACTACACTTTAATGACTGGCTAAGGGCTGCATAACATCTGATTTCGGGAACGGGAACGACAGCCGTTACATGGTCGTCACCTGCAGATCACTCACCACACACATTGTCACGTGAGCGTTTTCTGATTCGGCGTTTCGACGTCGGGCGGAAGGGGGGTGGGGAGCGGAGGGGTCTGGCTCCGGACCTTTGCTTCATGCGACTGTTTGCAACAGTGTCCTATGGGGGAGGGACTCCACCTGCTCGAAACAGGCGCCCCCAAACAGCCAAAATCTACTCCTTGGGGGGGAGGGGGGGCGCGAGGGCCCGCGCTGATCGGCAAGACAATGAAGCAGAAAACGATCACCACAGATCGCGCCACATGTTGTTTGGCCCACGGTGGTGGCATTTTTTTTTTATCTGTGTAGGCGCCGCGCGAGCACGGCGGTTTCATGCACGCATTCAAAGCCGCGGGGCCAGCGCGGGGTCCCGCGGGGTCCCGCGGCGCCCGCTCACCGCCCGATCACCTCCATGAACGAGGCGCAGAGCTGGGCGACGTCACGGTCGCGGCGCTCTCGATCCAGGCGCGCACGCCGCCGTACGAACGGCTGCTGGCCCGTGGCCTCTGCAGAAACCAGCAGAAGCCTGTGGGCCGAGGCCGTCCAGTCCAGCTTCTCTGCCAGGCAGTCCTCCTGCAGCAGCTCCTCGTCATCGCGCGCGATGCACTGCTGCCCAATCTCGGGATCGGCACCGCCGTCCCCTTGGCTGCCCTGGTCCTCCGCGAGGCCGTCGAGCGTCTCCTGCATCTCGCAACTGCCGATGCTCTGCTCGCTGCCGAGAAGCTGCGCGTGCTGGCCGTCCTTGCCGAGCGTCTTCGTATCGAAGGGCTCCCACTGGCTGTAGACCACCGCGCCGCATGTGCAGCGCAGGCCAGCCGCCGCCTCGCCCATGCCGTGCAACGGCTCCCAGCTTCCCGCACCTGGAATGAAAGCTGGGCTTTCCCTGCGGAGCTGCACGCCGCGCGCCTCCTGCCGCAGCGCCCGCGGCGGCGCCAGCCTCGCGGACTTCTGGAAGCGCCTGAGCTCCCTGCCGCTGGCCGCCGCCCGTGGCGCGACTGCCGAATGTTCAGAAACATTCCGCCGCAGGATGTCCACGTCGGTGAGCGGGGCGGCCGCCACGCCATCGCGGGCCTCGATCTGGGCTCGAAGAACCGGTTTGATGCCCATCCACCGCTGGCGCAGTTCGTCTGCATGAGGGTCAGGGTGATCCCCGTAGCCCAGATGCCGCAGCAGCTGGTTGAACTCCGACGTCTTGTGCCGCAGCTGCTCCTCGAGTGCTCGAACTTGAGCACGAGCTGCTGCAAGCCCCGCGTCGGCTGCCACCAAGGCCCTCCTCCGTGCTGCCGTCCGCGTCGCTCTCGATCGCCGGCCGCATGCTTCCATGCTGGAATCGCCGCAATGGGGCGACTCCGCCCGTGCCATCCCAAGCGGTCCCGCGCGCGCTGAAGCGGGCGGAACACAGGCTTGAGCCAAAATGGCTACGGACCACGGTGGTGGCCTTGGATAAGGACACCCTCGATCAGGAATCCAGGGCCTGGAAGCCAGTGGAGAGCCGATCCTGGCTTGGCCATGGACATCACCGCCGCCCTCGTGGGTACGGAGCCGGGTAAGGAACCCTCCAGAGTCTCAGACCCTGGAGGGTTCCTTACCTGGTGAGGAATCCTCCAGGGTCTCGGACCCAAGTAAGGAATCCTCCAGGGTCTCAGATACGGTCTGAAGCCTCCTGGCCGACGAACCAACAACACACATCCATACCCATAGGGGGGTCGGAAATGGCCATGGGTGCGTGTTGTCGCATGGGGGTCCCCGCTCGAACGGGAGCGCTCCCTAGGGTCCGACAACCCGCACCCGTACCCACAGCCAGCCCTCCTCCCAACGACCCCCTTATGGGTATGTGTGTGTGTTGCTCGTTCGTCAAGCTGGGCACGTTCCTTCACGAACGCCCCCACCGCAGCCTTTGACCCCCCACGGCCTTGAGGGAGCTGTCGAGGCCGAGGAGCAGCGTCTCCCCAAAGGCGCTCCCGCGGTCGACCGTGCCCACGGGCAGCCCGGCCACCTGGAGGCGCACGGAGCCCTCGAGGACCAGGGTCAGTGCCTGCCAGGACCGCTGGAGCGGCGCGGCCTTCGTGAGGTCCGAGGCCTCGGCCACGGGCACCACCTGAGGAGGAGGAGGAGGAGGAGGAGGAGGAGGAGGAGGAGGAGGAGGAGGAGGAGGAGGAGGAGGAGGAGGGGGGAGGAGGAGGAGGAGATGGGAGGAGGAAAGAGGAGGAGGAGGGAGGGAGAGGGAGGATGGATTGGGTTTGTCCTCCAGTGGATTGTCCTCCAGTGGAGGGTGCGGTGGCTTCATGCGTAGCCACCTTTCCGTGGGGGGCGCCAGGTACCTGGGGGCAGGTGGCCGTGCGCGACCCCACCGCGACCAAGCTAGGGTCCGCCTTGGCACTGGGGAGGGGGGAGTGGATGGAGAGGAATGTCCTCCTCTGCTCCGCCCAGCTCCGCCCCGTCCTCCGGTCGCCACAGGCCAGGCCGAAACCGAGCCGCTAAAAATGGGGAGGGGGAGGGGGAGGGGGAGGAGGAGGAGGAGGAGGAAGAGGAGGAAGAGGAGGAGGAGGAGGAGGAGGAGGAGGAGAAGGAGGAGGAGGAAGAGGAGGAGGAGAGGGAGGAGGAAGAGAAGGAAGAGGAGGAGGAGGAAGAGGAGGAGGCCGCGTGCCCGAGGACATCGGTAAGCAGGTCACCGGCTCCGGGACGCTGCAGAGCGCGCCAGCCTACGAGGCCAGCCGCGATCTCCCCATACCCATTTAATATCATTGCCACCCTTGTCCTGTGCTGTTACATCTCCATTTCCCATTCTGCACTGCACATTCGTACGTATTACCTCTCCTCGCGTTACCCTGCACGCATTTTGCACACGCAGCACCACCACGCCATCAACAACGGCCCTCGTATTACGCTGCAACGCTACGTAGCACTACCACGACTTCGTCAACGGCTGCGAACGACAGCACTCGCACCACTTCCCCCGCCACTTTGGCCAAGCAACCACCACCCTGCACTACTGTATTCTTCAAGCAGTAGCACGACGACCACGTCGCGGCCCCAAAATGCAGGAGGGTACTAAAGTAGTAATACTATATTGCTACAGCCCTGTACGAATAGCAATGCAGTAGCACGCAATACTCTTGCATTTCAGCGGCAGTGCTATAGTACTGACTGTCGCAGTAGTGGTACTGTAGTAGTGTAATATTCTTTGTGCTATACTACTGCAGCGTTCTAGAACCGCCGTAGTAGTACTGCATTAATGGTGTGGCAACACTGTAGTAGTCCTGTAACTGTAATAGAAGTAGTCGTAAAAGTAATAGCAGTAGTAACAGTAGTAGTAGTAGTAGTAGTAGTAGTAGTAGTAGTAGTAGTAGTAGTAGTAGTACTAGTAGTAGTAGTAGTAGTAGTAGTAGTAGTAGTAGCAGTGGTCGTCGTAGTAGTAGTAGTCGTAGTAGCAGTAGTCGTAGTCGTAGTAGTAGTAGTAGTAGTAGTAGTAGTTGTAGTAGTAGTAGTAGTAGTAGTAGTAGTAGTAATAATAGTATTAGTAGTAGTAGTAGTAGTAATAGTAGTAGTAGTAGTAGTAGTAATCGTCGTAATAATAGCAGTAGTAGGAGTAGTAGTGCTAGTAGTTGTAGTTGTAGTTGTAGTAGTAGTAGTAGTAGTAGTAGTAGTAGTAGTAGTAGTAGTAGTAGTAGTAGTAGTAGTAGTAGTAGTAGTAGTTGTAGTAGTAGTAGGAGTAGTTGTAGTAGTAGTAGTAATAGTAGGTGTAGTAGGTGTAGTAGTAGGTGTAGTAGTGGTAGTAGTAGTAGTAGTAGTAGTAGTAGTAGTAGTAGTAGTAGTAGTAGTAGTTGTAGTTGTAGGAGTAGTAGTTTTAGTAGTAGTAGTTTCAGTAGTAGTAGTAGGAGTAGTAGTAGTAGTAGTAGTAGTCGTAGTAGTAGTAGTAGTAGTAGTCGTAGTAACACTCCGGCATTGCAACAGAGGTAATACGCGTGCGTTTGCTCTAGTAGTCGCACTGTAGTCGTGTAGTAGAAGTAGTCCACGATTGTAATACTCGAGCAGAGTAGCAGTATCCTCGAATTGTAGCGTTTTAGTGGTAGTGCTGTAAGAAGAGTGCTGCCGTTTTGTGGGGCTGTGCCGTACTACTGCAGTAGTGGTACAGTAGAAGCAGCACTCAAATACATTATCCGTACGAGTAGTACTGCCTGCAGTGATTCATTCCACTACTATAGTAGGACTACTCAAATGCCGTAGTCTATCAGCACTGCTGTAGTACTCTAATACTGTAGTGCTGTAGTGGTGGCGTTGAAGTAGTCGCATAATACTGCCGCAGTGGTACTTTAGTACTGAACCAGTGGTACTCTGATACCGTGCTAAGCCAGTAGCATTATTGCATTAACGAAGTGGCAGCTCTGTAATAGACCTGTAGTTGCAATGTGAGTAGTAGTACTCCGGTCTCGCAGTAAAGATCATACTCTAGTCCTTGCTTTAGTAGTCGCACTGTAGTAATGTCGTAGACGTACTTCCCTACCGTAGTCTCCTCGAACTGTAGGGCTTCCGTGGTAGTGATGTAGGGAGAGTGCTGTACTATTGTGGAGCCGCGCTGTACCATTGTAGTGCTGGCACTGTAGATGCCGTACTCTAGTAGTGCCTTCGTAGAGCAGCACTTTACTACTCCCTGCAGTGAGTGTGCTGCAGTACTGTCTTAGGAATCTTCGAATGCCGTAGTATATCAGCACTGCTGCAGTACTTTAATACTGTAATGCTGTAGTGGCGGCACAGAACTAGTCCTAGTACAGTACTCTAGCAGTAGTACTGCAGTAATGGTACTCTAGTGCTGGACCAGCGGTACTCTGACACCGTGCTAAGCCAGTAGTAGAATTTCACTAACGAAGTGGCAGCGCTGCAGTAGCCCTGTAGCTGTAATGGTAGTACTCAGGTCTCGCAGTAAAGATCACACTGTTGTAATGTAGTGGTAATCCACTACTGTAGTTCTCCAGTACAGTACTCGTGCCCTTCAACTGTAGTGCTTTCGCGGTGGTGTTGTAGGAAGAGTGTTGTACTATTGTGAAGCCGTGCTGCACTATTGCAGTAGTGGCGCTGTAGAAGCAGTGCTCTTGTACAGTATTCGTAAAAGTACTATTCTACGACTGCTTGCAGTGCGTGTGCTACAGTATTGTAGTAGGAATACTCTAGCACTGCTGTAGTGCTCCAGTACTGTTGTGGTGTTCTGGTATTGCCATATTATCGCAGCACTGTTGTAGTGCTCTAGTCCTGAAGTGCTGTAGCGGTGGCATTGCAAATGTCGTAGTACAGTACTCTAGCAGAATTACTGCACTCGTGGGACTTGAGTAGCGTAAAGTTACCTAATACCGGCAGTAGTGATAGTGGAACTCTGCCATTGGAGTATTCAATGGATTTTATTGCAGTCGTAGTAGTGCACTGGCACAGTAGTAATGGTAAAGCTGTCGTTGCGGCTGTACGAGTAATACCATATTGTACTGCAGCAGCACTCTAGTACGGTCGCACTGTAGTAGTACTAGTAGCCGTAGTAGTAGTAGTAGTAGTAGTAGTAGTAGTAGTAGTAGTAGTAGTAGTAGTAGTAGTAGTAGTAGTAGTAATAGTAGTAGTAGTAGTAGTAGTAGTAGTAGTATAAGAATAGTAGCAGTGGTAGCAGTACTCGTAGTCGTAGTCGTTGTAATAGTAGTAGTAGTAGTAGTAGTAGTAGTCGTGGTGGTGGAGGTGGTGGAGGTGGTGGTGTTAGTAGTAGTAGTAGTAGTAGTAGTAGTAGTAGTAGTAGTAGTAGTAGTAGTCGGCGTCGTCGTCGTCGTGGTAGTAGTAGTAGTAGTCGTCGTCGTCGTCGTCGTCGTCGTCGTCGTCGTAGTCGTAGCCGCAGTCGTAGTAGTAGTAATAATAATAATAGAAATAATAGTAGTGGTAGTGCCGTAGGAGCAGTCGTAGTCCAATACTGTAGTAGTAGTAGTAGTAGTAGTAGTAGTAGTAGTAATAGTAGTAGTAGTAGTAGTAGTAGTAGTCGTCGTCGTAGTCGTAGTCGTAGTCGTAGTAGTAGTAGCCGTAGCAGTAGTAGTAGTAGTAGTAGTAGTAGTAGTAGGAGTAGTAGTAGTAGTAGTAGTAGTAGTAGTAGTAGTAGTGGTAGTAGTAGTAGTAGTAGTAGTAGTAGTTAGTAGTAGAAAAACCCAATTCAGTAGTTCGTTTCTCAAGTTTTAGTAGTAGTTTAGTAGTAGTAGTAGTAGTAGTAGTAGTAGTAGTAGTAGTAGTAGTAGTAGTAGTAGTAGTAGTAGTAGTAATAACAATAGATCTGTGATAGTAATGTGTTGACAGTAATACCCTAGTACAGCAAGAACAGGGCTGAGGCTCAGGCTAGGCTTTGGTTGAGGCTTCGGCTTCGGCTTCGGCTGGGGTTCACGTTAGGTTGAGGCTGAGGCTTAGACTGAAGTTTAGGCTAGTCTTCGGCTAGGCTTAGGCTGAGGCTTACGCCAAGGCTTAGGCCGAGGTTCGGGCGAGGTTGAGGCTATGCTTAGGCTGAGGTGTGGGCTAGGCTGCGGCTTAGGCTGAGGCTGGGGCTCAAGCTGGGCTTAGGCAAGGCTTAGGTTAAGCTGAGGCTTAGGCGGAGCTGGCTTAGGCTAAGGCTCAGGCGTGGCTGGCTTAGGCTGGCTGGGGCTGAAGCTTAGTCCGCCCCAGGAAACAGTTATCGCATCGTCGCGGAAGGCGCAATGCGAGGACATGGAGGACGCGGGTGTTCAGGTTTCTTGCTTGGTCGGAGGCAGCACGCGCATCAACCAACAACTCTCCTGCACGAGCCACCACAAGGACAAACACGACATGAAAATCGCAGGGGGGCGATTCGCCCCCTGACCCCCTCGTGCTCCTTGGGCCATGCGATCGTGCATTCGCTGGTCCAAGAGATGATGTAGCATTCATCCGTGCCCCGCCTCTGCAGCGCCAGGGCCAGGCCGAGCCCATAGCCGCGCACCACCCGGGGTGGGCTGTCTGGGTCGTACAGTGAAAACGTATAGTAAGGACGCGAGGTAAGGACGCAAGACCCTTGGAGGACGAAGTTGGATTTTTGGGGCGGCGGGCGACCAGTGATAATGGCAGGGACGAGC